TCTGTCTGTCTGTCTAGCTATCTAGCTATCTATCTATCTATCTATCTATGTATCTGTCTATCTGTCTATCTGTCTATCTGTCTATCTGTCTATCTGTCTATCTGTCTATCTGTCTATCTGTCTATCTATCTATCTATCTATCTATCTATCTATCTCTGTATGTACCTATCTATCGAGTCGATCTATCTATCTATTTCGATCTATCTATCGATCTATCTATCGATCTATCTATCTATCTATTTCGATCGATCGATCTATCTATCGATCTATCTATCTGCCTCTCTATCTCTCTATCTCTCTATTTCTCTCGCTCTCTCTCTCTCTCTCTCCATCTATCTATCTATCTATCTATCTATGTACCTACCTATCTATCTATTTATTTATCTATCTATCTATCTATCTATCTATCTACGTGCCTACCACGTATCCACACCCCGGGTATCACAGTTGTCACACGGCCTTTTCTGGACGATATAATTGTACGACCACCGGGTTCAGGGGACATTTCTCCGGTCAATTTGCGAGGCCAGTTCATCATCGGATTCCGAACTTCGTGAACGCGGAACTGACTGCCAAGCAGGTGCCCCTTCCCCACCCAAAGAGAAACACTCGACATGAATTAGATGTCGTGCCTCCGATGAATTTGTTGTGGGCAGCAGATTCAACTCTTCATGCATTGTCTCATATGGAAATCCCCATTTAACCAGTCCAGGTGATTTGAACAGAGTACCAGAAGGCCGAAGAACTACATCTTCAGATGCAGATAAGTGTCGGCATCATCCAAAGCATCACCGAAACAAATGCAATGTAGGCATGTGCAGGCAAGAATGTAGGCATGTGCAGGCAAGCAGAACATCTAGCATATCGTCGGCCGTCACTGGCATCATTAAACTTGCCTGCTGATTGAAGTCTTAATGCATGTAGTTGCAGACGTGTGCAGTATCGTGCAACACGGGGTAAACGCAAGACAAGATATCGTGACGGCCATGGCAAGAACAACTACGCTAGACTAGAACCCCGCATCATGTTCATCAGCCGCACATTGCCGAGCGTGCAGGAGCGCATTGGAGCATGAGATACGGCATGAAACGGCATGAAACGAGTCATCTCCTGGCTCTGGCTCCGGGAGCCCAATGAGCAAAGCAGTCTCAGGAGAGCTCGCATCATTTAGCCGGAAGGTGTTACTTGGAGTATGCCAGCCGAAACGGGCTCGACCTCTTCAAAGTATGACGTATCAAGATCGCTCATACTGCGAGGTTCAGCAGCTGCCGGAGTTCCAGCGGGCGAAGTGGGTCAAGGCGGTCCCAAAACACTGGGCTTGAGCTTCCGTTCATCAGATGTTGAGGACACTTACTCGTTGCAGCTTGTTCACTCTGAAATCTCTTTCGGGGCTCGCCCAGCCCAGAAAAAAAAAATTGACATCTGCGTCAGAGCAACCGCGCGTCCTGAAGCCCTGCCGTGAAGTGCTGTAGCCGACGTCAACGTCCCTCGGCACCCCAAAGAAAAGCGCTAGGTGAACCCCGACAGCCCGCAGAAGTCAGCGCCGGGGCTGACGAAATGATGTGGGTTGGGGCCGGGGTTTCGGGGGTTTGTTCTGGTGTTGTACCAGCTGAGTTTGAGGCCTCAGGGCTTGGGATTCGCAGATTTTGGAGGCTCCCGGGATTGAGCATTTCTTAGGAATGGGCAGCTTCGTGGTTTCAACGTTCTATTTTTTTGATGGAGTCTTGGGGCATTGGATCGCTGGGCCACTGGCTCGCCAAAGTTTCATCTTAGGAATCTTCACCTTCGGCTTGAGAGGTGGCCTCGCGGGATTCAATCCTTCCTTTACACCAGCTGCTACAAGACTCAATGACTCAAGCTTGAGGTTGCCCGGGGTCGCAACACGCAATACCGTGATCAGGAGAGCCCTCTACGTGCAGGTCAATGCATGTGCTGCTATTTCTCTGGCTCCAAGCTGAGGTGCGTGTCGCTGTGCTGCATGCCGGGAAGATGCTCCTGGTGCCACAGCCGAGGTCAACACCCCGCACAAATCGCTTCCTAAGTAAACGGGGCCCGAATCCGCTTCCAACCCTTGGAGGAGTTGGCAAACGCGGCAAAGTCTGACCACCACCACTGCCACTGCGGCCGCCATGGCCATCAACATCACCATCGGCAACACGCCTCGCCCGTCCCCGTCGTCGTCGTCGTCGTCGTCGTCGTCGTCGTCGTCGTCGTCGTCACCGTCATAGTCATCATCATCATGGTCATGGTCATGCCCTTGATCATCATGAATGCAGTCGTCATCGTCATCGTCTTACTATGACGATTACGATCACCTTCATTTCACATGTCTGATGAAGCAATGAATAGTCTGCTTAATCGCATGGTGACCAAGTCTATGGTGATGGTGGTGATCATGGTGACTGCACAGGTACTGTAAGACTCGCTTGGCCTCTGCTTTCGTAGATCTGAGCTTTGCGCCTTGGCTCTGTATGGTGCAGACGGCGTCCACCCTGCCTCCCGAACCCCAGAACTGAAGGCACCGATGTTTTCCTGTCTCTGCAGCCCAAGAGCCAAAAGCATGCTTCACATGGGAGGCTCCGGACAGGCTTCTTCAGTGTTCTGGACCCATCCAAGATCCCCCTGGAGAAGTTCGGTCCCTTGGCAGCGACAGCTTCGGCGGAACTCCCAGAATACTCCAGCTCACAAGGTCCTTGTGGTAGACGCTGAGGCGTTACCTCTTCTAGGTTTCGGGGTTCGGGGTTCGACCACTTCGACCAGGCTATGCCTGCACTCAGATGGGGGTGGTGGAGTTCGGAGAACCCATCGACCTGGATGCAAAGTTGAAGGCGGGGCAGAGCCAGGCTTCTCTCAGTGCCGTAAGGCGAAGTTTATCAGTTTCCTCAAAGGTCGACATGGTGATCATAGGCTCTGTGGCCGTGAACCCTGCCAACGGCGCTCGTTTGGGCAAGGGCGAAGGCCGGGCCAAAGCTCACGATGCCTCGTTTTGCACCTCGAAACTCCTGAGGAAAGGTGTTGTCGGTGTTGTGTTTTCTTCAATCACGCTTGAGGGACTGTGGGGTGTGAGGGTTCCAATGATGAGTTGGGGATGCGTTGGTTTTTGTGTGGCCTTGCACCTCGCCTCAACCCCTATGCTTCTCACGGCAAGCTGCCGCCCAGAAAGCAGAATCGAGAGGCTTCGCGGAGCTCGAATACGGCATGCTGCGGCTGATGGGTGCGGTGGATGACGACACCCCCGCAGCCAGTCTGCATGTTTCTGGCCTGTGGACCCAAGCCATCTTTCTACTAGTCATCCGAGCCCTGAAGTACGGGACTACGTGACTACGTCCCCACCTTAGTGTCAGTTCTGCCTCTGAAGACGAAGACCATGATTGTGCTGTCCGTCTCAAGTCCCATTCCACAGGGGCTACAGCCAAGTGTGAGTCTTGAAGCCGTCCGAGTCATCCCGTGAATCCCGCAGCCGCACAACACGACGGAATGAGGTAGTCAGCTGCATCCATGACTGCCAGCTGGTGGATGACATCCCCTCAGACACTTGGCCAGTGGTAAGGTTTTTTCATCTTAAGTCCATTCTTCAAGACTCTACACCTCAGTCCCGGAGCAGCCCGAGCCCCAGGATCTCCACCAACAAGAGCTCCAGTCCTCAATCGGCCTGCAAGCTTCACGCGGCTTGTAGATAGCAGTTCTTGTATGCAGCACATTCTGAGACGCAGAGGCAACTCGGTGGTCACCACAACAGGACTGTGAAGTCTTGTGGTCAACGAGTTTTGGTCATCGGATGTAAACGGCTGGGGCTTTCGGTGCGGAGCGGGCTCTGCGGGCTTGGGTCGTCACCTCGTAGAAGCCGTCAGGCATCCTCGCCCAGCTCTGAAAGCCCAAGCCCGACCTGCCAAAGTTGGACATACGATTTCCGAGTTGCCACGATGACGGCGCCTAAGGAGAAGCTGCTGTGTCATGATGTTCCCGTGGACATCATCTGCACGCCGACGAGGAGATCAGGGCGGCAGGGCGGCTGGGAAGAGACCGTTCAGCCAGCGTGCTGAAACCCTGACCGCAACGCGGTTCCGAGCCGAAGCCCATCGCAGGACCATCCGTGTGCAGCGGAGTCTACCGAAGCCAACGGGCATCTACTGGGACAAGCTCTCGAAACAGAAGCTTGCCGCTTGGGCTCATGAGCTGACTTCGAGCTTATAGGCTTTTTTGTTCCCCGAAGCCCGGAGTGACCACACTAAACAGCGTGCGAAACAACCGCGCCAAAACAACAGGAAACGTGACACGATATATCTCTTCCTCGCCGGCGGCAGAGACCATCGGGGTCTGAGATACGAGAGCCTGAGCGTTCGAGTCCTTTTTCAAGCACTAAGGGCTCGATCCTGATTCTCCAGAAGCTCAAGGCCAAGCTTGAACGTGCGCCCTAGCGGCTCTAGCCTGACAGAGTTTCAAAATGTGGATTAAACACTGGTCGTAGGCCTCTGCTAGGCCACTGGTGATGGGATATGGAGTTCGCCTCTAGGCCAACATGAACCTTGAGCTCCAAGTCGCATACCCGGCCATCAGCGGTGCTTGGGGGTTTGAGCGGGAGGGGGAGGCACCTTGGGTGCCTTCGTTGTTTGTGCCATCCGTCCAGTCTCACCTGGAACCACCACGCCCCGGGACCTTAACCCACTTCACCCTACCTTGCCCAAACCTCGCCCTTTCTCCACCTGGTCTGAGGAGCTGGGCCAAGAGCTCCCTTCGGGCCCGGATGAAATCTTGCCGCCTACTGCGCAGCGCGACAAGGGCAAGGGGAAAGGAGGCAAAGGCAAACAAAAAGGCCGGCCAGGGTGGGAAAATCAGCCGCCAGTTGTAGCATTCAAGAGCTGCTCGGCTCTCCTCTCCTCTCCTCTTCTCTGCTCTACTCGTCTCTCTTACTTCGAGCCTCGCCTGACGACCTGAGTTGCCAGGAAAAGGCAAGGAGAAGGGAAAGTCCAAGGACGGGGTTCAGACTTTCGGTGGCTGAAGCGTGATCACCTCCCTTGCTAACTTCTGCTCTGTCGCTCTTCACATGTGAGCTTGCCTCATGACGTCGGAACGTGAAGCCCCAGGCCCAAAGCCCTCGATGCACCTACCCAGATCAAGTCTTGGCTCGTGTAGGAGGCCCTGACAGAAGTTTGGAAGCGCTTTGGTTTCCGGGACTCGATATCTAGCGGTCGAGGGTTTTGGGAGATGGAAGTGGCAACAGGGGCACCGAGCGCTGTAGGATGGTGACGATGATGATGATGATGATGATGATGATGGTGATGGTTCTGGTGCCTTTGGTGGAATTGGTGACAGGGGTGTTTGTCGCTGTGGTGGTGATGAACTGGCAGAGCTTCCAGGAATTTAACGTGATGTAAGGCCCGCGAGAGCAAGTTTATGCTAAGGGTCGTCCGGATTGAAGGCTTCGGTGCACAGGGCCCGAAACTTCAAGCACAAGCAGGATGGCAAAGGCAAGGCACAGGGCAAAGCCAAGGGTGGCAAGGCTGCGGAAGGCGACCGAAATTCAAGATTGCGGTTTTGAGGGTTTCTCTTGCAAACTGAAGTGGGTGTGGCAGGGCTGTGATTTCCTACGAGCACCAAGTCCAAAAGCCTTTAGACAAAAACGGGTCAACAAAGCAGCTACCTCCAAAATGACACCTGGAGGGCCAGAGTCTGACGTTATTCCAGCCCTCATATGCACCTGTTCCATGGCAAGAAGTCTCTGAAACTCGAAACTCTAGCTTTTCTCGCAGTGCCCGGCCCTACACCTTGTGGACTAATGACCCCGAATCCGTAGAACCTGCTGGGGAGGCTAGGTTCAGCGAATCGTGCCGGTTCTTCGCTTGGATTGTCCCGGACTCTGCTGTGAAGAAGAGTTCAAGGAGTATGTGCTATGCCTGCTATGCATGGAACACCAAAAAACACGTCCTTCCCTCACAGCCCAAACTCCAGTGCCCCCATGTTGCCTGGAGGCTGGCAGCCAGCCGGCGAAGCTGCAGGCAAAGTGGCGTTTGGGTGGGGAGGGCGTCAGCTCTGCGTGTGTCAAGTCGCGCCAGGCCCCTCGCAGGTCCGGAGGCGCTGGCAGCCGAAGACCTGACGGCATGCAAGGAAGAAGCCAAAAGGAGAGCCTTGAAGGAGAGAAATCTCTCACAGACGAGGGACTTCGCGCCCACAATGCCACACCGGAGGTACCAGTACTGAGTACTTTCATGTTTGGCTCGAAGATCCTTTTGTTGCCTCGCCTTCCCGGCTCGAGCATAGGAAGGGGCTGCGCGCAAAGGCCGCGCCGCTTGCGACCAGACGCGAGCGACGGTGCGGGAGAGGCACCGCAGGAATCTTCTTGTTTTGGACGCTTCGAACGGTTTGATCATGTTTGATCCCTGGCGTTCTTCAAGGTTTCCTGCAGGTTTCCCCTCATCTCAAGATCTCCCTTGCGCATGCTTTACCTTGGCCGTGTCTCGGCAGTCTTGCAATGCATTCCAGTCTTTGACATGCAGCTCGCGTCTCGCCGCTCAAACTTTCATGGCCCCGGCAGTCTTCCACAAGTTCCTGACGGGTGTCAAAAGATGTCGTTTCTCTGTCGCTCAGCTCCTGTGGTCGCATTGGCTGTGACTCCTTCACTCTTTCTCCGCAAATACAGCAAGTAAATGGGTGGTGGGTGGCCAACGCCCCGTCGAAGAAAGCCCCGGCACTGTTGACAGCGGTGGTAGCGGCTGGTGGAAGGCTGTGTTCTGTTGGCTGCGCTGGCCAGCTGGTCAAAAGCGGCCAGTTTTGAATAGCAGAGCTTACCCTTTCGTGATATTGGATGTGACTACTGATGATGTTTCAAAGTATCTGGTGGCCGCACAGGGGCTGATGTTTTCGGCTGTGCTGTCTTCGTATGATGCCGAAAAGGACTGACGCAGCGTACGTTGTTGTACGTCGTTGTGCTCTTCTCATATACAGAAAGGGATGCCATCCAGCAAAATAATGGCAGTCATTCCGACAATCTGCAGCTATGTCTCTGCAGGCTCCCATATAGGAGTATTCCGGCATGTGCACGGAAAGCCCCAAACATGAATTCCAGTCCGCGAAGGCCCCTCGCCATGGGGGCGGCGCCCTGAGTTTGTCGTCGAGTGCCGCTTTTCTATGTGACTGTACCTTTCCATCGTGAGCAAGCCAGAGTGGCTTCAGGGTTTAGGGTTGTCCATTCGATCCCCCGCACACCCCAGGCTCTAAGCCACTGAGTCCTAAAACCTATACTCAAACTCGACCCTTTAAACCAGACAACCTAAAGGCCTAAGCCCTGAAAAGGGAAAAGAGCGTGCCAAAGAAACAAGCTGCAAATCTCCCAACCTCAACCGAGCCTGAGGTGCCGCTGCTGCTCCTGACTTCACTGGCACTCGTCGCACGCGTCAGCGGCGAGTGCGGGGACTCGGGAATGAGCGATGCGGGTGGAGCCTGTGATGTGCGTGCATGTTTCCGGGGCGGTAAAAGCTTGGCATCGGCGCTGATCATTGAGACTCATCAGAAATCATGGGGTCTCCCACCGAAAAGACGTGAACTTCTCCGAAAAGTCTGGATCCGAAAGGAATTCCGTTAAGACTGAGGGACTTTGTCAATTTGTTGAGTTAGCCCATCCTGGAGGACGTATTTGAGAAAAGTCAAAGTCTTTTTGCCCAGATTAGCTGATTAACTTCTTGCTACCTGGCTTGCCAGTTGCCGGCTACTCCGGCCTGCAGAGATACCTACCTGCACGCACACACACACACACACACCCACCCACCCACACATAGATAGATACGTAGAGGATAGATGGTTCACATGTATTTGTACGATGTAGATCTATAATATTATGCGTTGATGCATATGCATATGTATATGCATATGTAGATAGAGAGGCATATGTATATGTATATATATATATAAGCCGGCGTCAAAATTATTTGTTTGTGCTAGGCTC